TCTCTCTCCCTCTCTCTCTCTAAGAATAAATAAATAAACTTAAAAAAAAGTAAAGTTGTTTCCTGTATTTTCTGCTGTGGAGAACAAAGGCAAAAGGAAATATAGATAAAGCTAAATTTCCTTATAACTTGCAGCTCATGGACAAATACTTGAGACAGGGGAGTTTGACATTCCTCCAGGAACTCCCTGCTGTCTTAATGGTAATACCTTCCTAGAGGCAAAAACAACCTTAACTTGACAACAATCCTGGAAGTCTTCTTTAACATACGAAAATCCTTTTGGAAACTTCCTTTGTCTCTACTCCTCCCAAACTAAAAGTGTGTAATCAATCACTCCTCCCAACCCCAGTGAAGCTCTTTCTGCCCAGGGGAGCTATCCCTGTGCTTTAATAAAACCGCCTTTTTCGCACCAAAAAAACATCTTAAGAATTCTTTCTTGACCATTTCCTCATGCACCCCACATCAAACCACATCATTTCCCACATTTTGTGGAGAGGATTCTGAGTTGGCAGGATTTAAAATTTCCTTTCGCTATCAAACCTGCTCTCTTTATCCAGACATTTGTCTCAGGACACACACATTCAGCTTTATTGGAAACCGCTAGTCAGTTTTCAGAAGAGGTGGTGCAATTTTAGGATTAAAAGGCAAGAAGGAGGAAGGGGTGAATGGACAGGGTAAGAATTGGCTGTTGGGATTGATGTGAGGTCACTGAGAACAGTGGTCACGAAAGAACTCTGGATATGTCTCCGGTGCAAAAGGTGTTTTAGTATGCCCTGGGACAGGACCCTTGGGCAGAAAGAGCTGCATTATGATTGTGAGGTGCGACTGATGATATATTTTTAAGTAGGGGTGGGTAGAGATGATGGAAGTCTCTAAAGGGATTTCCTTATGTTAAAGAAGACTTCCAGGATCCTGGGGTTCTGGCTGTTGTCAAGATAAGGTTGCTTTTAGTCTCTAGCAAAGTATTAACATTAAGGAAGCTGTGAGTTCCTTGAGGAATGTTACATTGTGCATGTCTCGGGTATTAGTAGGTTGCCGTTGTAAGGAAATTTCATTTTATCTCCATTTCTCTGGACTCGGTTCTCCTCATCAGGACAGCTCCCCACCCATCTTTGTGGGCTTCGGGAAAAACAGACCAAGGCACATTGATAGGGAGCACTAGGTGTACGAAATTAGTTGAAGATCCCATTACCTGCTTATTGTTAGTGCCCCTGCTTAAAGCCTGATGTCTGAAAGAATAGGAGGTGATAGGTTTACTATCTGTAGCCTTCTGCCTCCATGACCTCCTGAGAAGAGTTTTATTTACTCAGAAATTGCTCAGTTAAAATCACTTCCACTCAAAAACTGTACGTATACCAGAAACTAGGGTCAAAGGGATAGGAAATCCCCAGAGAATAGTGTGTAAGAATTAGGACACTTTCTAGAAAGATCAGCAGAGGGGCAGATCATTACTGACACGGATTATTAACATCACAATAAGGAGACAGATTACTAATTCTAGATAGACTGAGTAGAAAGGAACGTTTGGGGGTGCATGATTGATCCCTAAGTGGAAGCACATTTTGAGCTCCAGATATTGTGACTTAACCTGTCACAGTGGGTAAAGGCCTGGATCCAACAGAGTTGCCCTCAGAGGAGAGTTCTTATGCATCAGTGTTGATGAGGGAGCATAAGGCAGGCAGAGGGCAAAGTACAAGCTAGCGCACCCCACCGCCCCAGGTGCGATATGTGTGATATCTCTTGGACAGTCCCGACTACCTCAAAACAGGAAAGGACAAAAAACCAAGTGGTTAACTCATAAAAGTCTCCAACAGTTTACAAGAAAAAGGCAATCCCATCAATAGCCGAAAGCCCAGGAACCCCCTGCTGTCTTAATGTTAATGCTTTGCTAGAGGGAAAAACAACCTTAGCTTGACAATAGATAGGCCTCCAGTAAGTCTTTAGCATATGAAACTCTCTTTGGAAACTTCCCTTTTGACTTTACCACTTCTGGCCCCAGAGTATATAATGAGCCACTCTTCACAAGCCCAGTGCAGCTCTTTCTGCCCACGGGTCCTGTCCCTGTGCTTGAATAAAATCACCTTTTTGCACCAAAGACGTCTTTAAGAGTGCTTTCTTGGCTTTCAGTTCCAAACCCCATGAACCCCTCATCACCCAAAAACCTCATCAGGTATAGTGTAAGCCCTGACGTTTTTGTTTTTGTTTTTGGTAATGCACGCGCCTGCCAACTTAAGCTTTGATTTGGAGAGAGGCGTTCTTTCAAACAGGGATCCGCTTCCCAGATAACCATCTAGAATAAACACACTGCCAGCCATCTGGTAAAGAGTCATAACACCTCTGGCACTGACCCCTTTATTTTAGAGATCTTTGGCGATTTCCCTAACTGATACCTTGGGCCGCTTGTTTTTTCTCTTCCCATGCTTGAAATTCCTACTCTTGTGTTTTAAATTCACCGGCAAAGAGTGAGTCCCCCAGACCCTAGGCCCCCACCCTGTCCCCAATAAAAGCAGAACCCCAGGCCCCTGCTTTCTCTTGTCCCCCCACCCTTGACTTCACAATGTGACCACGGTGTGCTGTGTAATTTCCTGGTCTTGTAACAAATCTTTATTTTTTCAGATTTCCTGAAGATGGCTTCCGAAGGGTGTCTTGCAATCATAATAACCACAAAAGTTGGTCCATCCCTAACATCGGTTTGGAAAGGGGAGACATCTGTGGGAAGCTCACAGGGGCCCAGCTGAGTGTCTCCAGACATTTCTAGCCAATTGCAATACTATTAGATGGGCTGAGACCATACAAACCCCTGGAACTTCGTGGCGATAACAAGATTCACACCACGTAGGACGGATTTGTCAGTATGAGGCCCAGAACAAAACACCTTTTCCAAGAGAGTAGGATTCTTGTGGGACTGCTGCGTAGGTTACAGCCTAAAACCAAAACTGTGGCCTAAAGGCACCTTGTCATTTTGAAAAGGACTTGCTAGCCTAAACACGGACAGTAGAGGGAGCACTTTCTCGGGGGAGTGGTTATGGCTGGAAGTCAGCCTACAAGGACCTCAGAGCTGTAGGGGAATTCGAGAGTTATTCCAATACATAAGCATCACCATCACGGGGCTTTTGCTATTATTCAGGAAATACTGTTGGATATTGGTTATGGAAGGTGATGCCTTCGAGAATCAGTGTGTCAGCCTGTAGGAGGACAGGCTAACAGGAGAAAGAAGGAATTTGGGAGAGAGATACCATCTGCATAAATGCTCACTGTTTCTCACAGGCACACATGTCACGGATAACTCGGAGATACTTCTTCCTCGTGGTGCATCCGGCTAGAATCGGGCAGAAGAACAACACCGTTTTCATTTTGTGAAGTGGGTTACAAGAGGTTACCATGGACTACAAGTCCAGAAAAAATCAACTTGTGATAAAAATTTCCCATGCAACCCAAAGTTTAATATGGAAAGTGTCTTGTGGAGTTGAAAATGTTATGTAATAAAATCAACTTCATTGCTCATATAAAATAACATAAAATAGAATTAATTAAAACAGAGGCTGATGAAGCTTTGGGGTGATGGTGAGTGGTCTGGAGCCAACGGCCAAGAAAGAATTCTTGAAGAAGTCTTTGGTGCCACAAGGTGATTTTGTTAAAGCAAGGGGACAGGACCCATGGGCAGGAAGAGCTGCACTGGGGTCCTGATGGGTAACTCATTATATATCCTCAGGTTGGGAGGGGGTCAGGGATAGAGTAAGTCTCCAAAGAATTTTGGAAGTGAGGCTTCCAGGACACTGAGGGGTTAGCTGTTGCTAAGAAAACACCACTTATCACTGTTTAATAAAATCTCAGTCATGAGACCCCTCAGATGCATCTCAGGGCGGGGGGGCCCGGGGGGGGGTGTCGGGCATAAGTTTGGAGCATGATTGCCAGCGTATATCCTGGGGCAGTTGAGATAAAGGAAGTAGATTTACAGGATCCTCGAGGTTGGGACAATGGTAAGCCAAGGTTCTCTTTTGCCCCCAGCAAAGCGTCATCCTTGGGGCAGCTGAGCTCCTGGAAGGAGGTCACTCTGTCGTCTCCAGGACTTGGCAATGGGCTATAGGCAGTAGGGAATTTAATTTGTCATTTACCTTAGTTTCCCACATCACCACGGCAAGCATTTAAACCCCTTTCCTTTGTTCTTGGGTAGCCAGGAGTGTCCGAGGAATATCAGACATATTCCACCTGGTCGGGGCTGGGGGGGGAGGGTGGGGAGGCCAGCCTGTATTTGGCCCTCAGCTGGCCCCAAGCTCCCTCATCAGAGGCTTCAGCAAAGCCTTTATTTATGAAAACTCATCATTTGCATCCAGCTTCTACTACATCAAGCCAAGATAGTGTGTGGTGTGGGAAACAGAGGCAGAAAGAAATGGCAGATAAAATTCAATTTCCTTATAATCTGCAGCCCGTTGACAAATACTTGAAGCAGGCAGAGCATAACATTCCTCCAGGAACTCCCCACCATCTTAATGTTGATGCTTTGCTAGGGGGAAAAACAACCTGAGCTGGACAGTAGCTGGGCCTCCAGGATCCTGTGTCTTTAGCATATGAAAATCACTTTGGAAACTTCCTCTTGACTTTACCTCCCCCAACTCCAGTCTCTTCTCATGGTTCGATCCTGGGGCAGCTCTTTCTGCCCGCGGGTCCTGTCCCCGTGCTTTGATAAAATCACCTTTTTTGCACCAAAGATATCTCAACAATTCTTTCTCGGCCGACAGCTCTGAAACCCCACCACTCCAACACCCCATCGGTGTGGGTCCCAGTCGTTGAGGATCTGGGCAAACACAGACTTCTGCCTAGTTCCGAAGAGGAGCACAGCAGTGGGGAGGAGCTGGTGTCGAGAACACGTGTGCCCTTTGATATAGTCTTTATGTGTGAGAAGTGGAGCTCGATTATTATCTTAGCTGAAGCACATCACAGATACTCATCTGGGAAGGTTGAGATAAGTCACAGGAAACAAATGGCCAACCCGGGATTCCGAGCAGAGTCTTCTTCACGCATCATACATCAGAGAAGGTCACTGTCTTTGAACGCTGTGAATTCGAGACCACGCCGCAGAAGGCACAACCACCCATTTGTGTGTGCTGAGGAGATGCATAGGTAGGAAGAAATCTTTTCTCATCTTTACCCCATGCTTTGTCTCTGAGAAGGCGTCTAGGTGGGAGGCATACAAGTGTCTGGACTATGGGGCATTCCGTAAGTTGAGCTAGAGAAAATTTGTGAATGGAAAAATCTTGCTTGAAATCTTGCTGTGAGCGGGCAGTTGCTTTTGCTTCTGGAATATGAGCGGAAGGTAAATATCTGGCTTTCAGTCTTACAAGGTTTAGAGTCTCTGCTTTAGGATCAATAACTGTGTGCACATTGCCAAGGAGAGGCAGCTGGAACGCAGTCTAGATTATTCTGAGCTGACTGCTTGGGTAGGTATGGGAACCGGGATAGAAGGAAAACTCTGGGTTATGCCAGAGACACCAAATCCCCTGTCCCTGGATTTTGCTGAGGAACAAGGAAGATATTTAAAAGTGAAATGCTGAGGGGGCGCCTCAGTCGATTGAACGGCTGACTTTGGCTCAGGTCATCAATCTTGCAGTTTGTGGGTTTGAGCCCTGGGTGGAGATGGCCGCTGTCAGGGTGGGGCCTGCTTTGGATCCTCTGTCTTCCCCCCCCCCCCCCACCCATTCCTCCCCCACTTGCTTTCTCTCTCTCTCTCTCTCTCAAAAATAAATAAACCTTTAAAAAAAAGTGAATCCATGCTGAGAAGTGTTTTCTTTCCTGGTGCCAACAGAAACACAGGGACATTTGAGGCAGAGACAGCCCGGGACTACACGATAAACCTTCCTGAAAGTGAGAGTATAACCCAACCACACTGGCCAGGTACCTGGGTTTTGCCCTCGCAGCAGCAGAGTCTGCTGCTCTTCCTGAAGGGGCAGCCCCAGGTCTTAGGGGTGAGTGGGCCCGAAATCAGAGTGCAGGCTGTGGGGAGGGGCAGGCTTCCTGACACAAGACTGGGGTTTCCTCGCAATACCCCCCTTCTCTAGATCATCGACGGTGGTCGTGAGCTGAATGGAACCATCCTGAACGTCACAGACCTTACAGATTCAGGAAGTGGAAAGAAATGGTGGAAAGCTGTCCACCACTGGAATTAAAAAAAAAAAAAAATTTCTACTTAGGTAGTAATTATAGGAATAAATACTTTCAGACTAACGTCAGTGTCCTGCATTGGACAAGGAAAAAGATTCGCTCTGTAGACTGTCACCTTCCTGGGACCTTCTCAGGCTTGGGGTCTCAGCGGTGGGAAGAAGTTAACAGGCACTGATCTGAGAGAGAATCTTCCTCCTGAGAAGCTGCCCCTCATAGGATGTCTCTTACCTTCCAGGTGGCTCAGATCCTGATTGGGCTGATAATAATGTGCCTGGGTGTGACAATCAGTCCTTTCCCCCTATATGACTATGATTCTCAATTTTGCATTACCACTGAAATACGCTATCACCTATGGGGACCCTTCTCTGTGAGTATTAGTGATTGTTCCAGTGTTTCAAATTTTTCAAGGGTCTTCAAGACCTTCATCCTTGTCTCTCAAAAACCCATGCACTGCTGTTTAGGTCCTAATCTTGGGCTGACTGGGTAGATAACACTGGCAGGGGAGTGGGGGAAATCAGGTGGATGGGACAAGCTCTGAGTGGGTTTTCTCTCTCTGGTCAGTTCTTCATATCTGGAGCACTGTCCATTGCTGCTGGAAGGAAAGTAACCAAGGGTTTGGTAAGTGTTTCCTTGCGGAGGCTCGGATGGGTCTAGTGAAGTAAGGAGCTGTTCAGCTATGAGGCTAAGGCACCTACAACTTGCTGGTTCTCTAGAGAAGGACCCTAGAAGTGGTTCCAGGGGGGTCCCTAGAAGTGCTTCCTTCGTGGCACTTAGGCAAGAATGATGGGCTTAGCTCTGTGCTCTGTGAGGTTCCACGTGCCCACGTGCTTGCTATACGAGAGCGCCTGAGGGAGTCAAAACCACGACTTTACCAGAAGTTCCTTTTTAAACTGGGGAAGATCTCCAAGTCAACTCCCAGACTCAGCTCAGGTGAGCTGAATGTCCCCGACTGGCACATCTAACCTGGGAAGAACACGAGAAAGGTTTGCAACAACTCTTCTCTCTTATTCTCCTTCAGATCCAAGGCAGCCTGGGAATGAATACAGTCAGTGCCACCGTAGCAGGCATTGGCATAATTGTGATAATTTTTGAAGAAATAATCACGTATGACACAATGATGTGGATGTCTTCCTATGCAGTTGCATTTATAGTAAGTATATCCGGTCCCAGTCATGGAAACCTGTTAACTGGTTTTGTTTGAATTTCTCTCTTAATTCTCACCATGGAATTGGCAGCCGTTGCTTACTTAGATTCTGGACACTCTCCTGAAGGCTAAGGGACCTAGCCTTTTGCGTCTTGCTGGGAGTACTGAGCAAAAAAAAAGTTAGCTTTTTAGTACCATTCGTGTCTGAAGGCCCCGATGTGTGGTTGGTGAGTGGAAAATTCTGCAAGAACTCAGTTTTCCCTGGGGCACTTTTCTCTTGATTTGAAAAGCCATCCGAAGAGAAAAAAGAAAAACAGGTGTTCCCGGTGCTCCAGGAACAACCACCTGATATGAGTGGGGAGGGTGTGTTGGTATTTGAATTGCATGGTGCAACCAGAGTGAGGGAGAAGTTCAGAGGGTTAACTGTAGGGTGTCGTGTGTCATAAGGAACAACGGCAGACGGACCAAAGGAGACGTGTAAGGCCCGAAAGTCAACACTGGTCATGAAAGGTGGGTAGCAATCAGGCAAACAAACCACCAGAAATCAGTATGGACACGCCCAGACTTACCTGCCATTCTAGACCCTGTGAGTAAGAGTAGAATTCCAACGATCCATTTTCAAGTTGTTTGAATTGGGAGAAAATTCAGGAATCCCTCCTAAGGAAAGGGGTTCCTAGTGCCAGATGTGAAATTTTGCTAACAATTTTCTCTCTTACAATACCTGCTTTTCTGTCTTCTATAGCCTGTGGGGGTTTTCCATGTGTTTTCCAGGGCATGCTAACCGGACTGCTGCTCTTGTCTCTGGCGGAAGGCTGCATTGCTCTGGCTCTCTCCATATTTGTGTGCAGGGCGGCCTGTTCCGTCAACAAGGTGAGTGTTCTGGGTCTTTATGGGGTCTCTCTCTCTCCTTCTCTCTCTACTCTGCTTCGTTCTCTGTGTGTCCTCTATTCTTTTTGTGGGGAAGATTAGGAAGAGGGAAAGTGCTGTTCCATGTATAAAGTCTTTATCTTCTTTGAAGGAAGTGACACAGGGGGAGACACAGGGAAATAGCCAACCACACTCAGCCAAAGAACTATCCCTAGACACTGAAGAGTCCTCTTTTTCTCAAACGAAGGTCACTTCTGGCATTGTTGAAGAGGTGTAGGGAAAGGAAGGTTAAGGCAAGAATGGGAACCTAGACCTGCAAAGTATCAGGATTCAGAAGGAAGGTGCTCAGTGACCGTACGGTTTCTAAAGCAAATGAGATGACTTCTTTCTCCCTATTGTCGACTACAAGAATCTAATGTTCTGATTTTTCCATAGGTGGTGGTTTTCTTACCAAATAATGACAACAGCCCCTCTCCTGACCATTTGTATGATGAGGTCGCATTTCAATAGATCCCTGTGGTGTGGCATTTCCAGTCAGTTTGACCTATCGAATCTCCCTCAGTTGGCTGTTTACCACATGGGACTAAGACTGAGAGTACAACACAGGATAATAAAGACTGCTTTTATTTGCTGATGAGGATTATTCTTTTGATTCCCCGCCGTAAGATCTACCAGCTTTTCAAGGAATCAGGAAACAGTGTCATTTTAAGGTCTCCAAATCTGTGTAAATGGAAATAAGTTGCTTGATTCAGATTTTCTTGTATCAGTCCATGTCGTGCCGAATCTTTCACCAGAGGAAAGAAGTCCATGTTGGTTACTTCTTATTCCAACAGCTCCATGTGTCCCTAGTTTTTTTTAAATTCTGCCCCTCTGGATGAAGATCCAGGACATTTCTACTGCCAATGAATTCTTAGCTAGCGTCAAACAGAATATAACCTATATTTTTCTTCCTATGTTCCTTGATGACACTCTCAGACAAGGGCAGTGTGGTATTCAGAAAAATCAGTCCTCAAAGCTCTTTAGATCCTGATTCCCAGAACCATTAAATATGTTACATGGCAAACGGGAGTCAAACATTGCAAAAAGAATTAAGAAGATTACTAATCCTAGATTGTCTTTCTGGCCCAATAGAATCACACAGGTTCTTAAAAGTAGATAAATTTTCTGGTTGTGGTCATGGAGAGTGATGTGACAATCAAAGAGTCACAGATGCAGTGTGAGAAGGGCCTGGCCCCCCACTGCTGGCTTCGAAGGGGCTCAAGCCAAGGACTGTGATTATATTGGGCCCAAGAGATAATTCAGGAGAATGTCCCTTTTTTTTTTTTTTTTTTTTTTTTTTTTTTTTAGAGAGAGAGAGAGAGAGGGCACAAGTGAGTGAGGGGCAGAGACACAGAGAGAGAGAGAATTCCATGGTGAACAGAGAGAGAGAAAGAGAGAGAGAGAAAAGCAGGGCTCACCTGAAGCAGGGCTCGAGCTCATCCCATGTGGTACTTGAACTCACAAGCCATTAGATCATGACCGGAGCCAAAGTCAGATGTTTAATGACCGCCCAGGCACCCAGGAATCTACATATTTTAAAGCGAGATGTAAACAACCCTTTACTAAGCAATCCTTACTTGTCCTGTTTGAGGAGACACTGGTTTGTCTTCCAGTTAATAAACGATGGGTGATCCAGATGTACATTGTGGGGAAAATCCATGATGCTGGACCAATAATCTTAAGTGATCTTAAGGGGGAAAAAAGGTAAAATTGGACTCATAACTCACATCATTAAAAAAAGGCAATTCCGCATGAATAATGGATTAATTTAGAAAAGAAAACCACTACAAAGTCTATAAGGCAGTGTAGAAGGATATATTATTATGTTGAGGCACAGAAAAATTTGTCAAACAAGATGCATAAAAGTTGCCCAAAGTATGTTTTATACCGTCCGTGAAAAATTAATTTTTCAATTAAAAAGAAATATAGAGTGAAAAATCAAGAAGTAACTTTCTAGAGTATAATTGTAAGACACAAAACATCAACAGGATTAATGTGCAGAGTCTTTACAGATGGCCCCAAACCAATTTAAAAGGCAAACATAGAAAAGGGCAAAAAATATTAACAGGGACTTCATAGATGTGGATATGCAAATAAAAAAGAAACACAAGAAAATTCACCTCATCAGTCTTCAGAGAAATGTCGGTTAAGTCCATAGTGGGGCACAACTTCCCACTGACTGGGGAACCTGGTAACTCCAGCTGTTGGCGAACATGCAGACCAATGTGAATATTTGCTCTTATTTTGAAGGAGACATTTGATTTAAAAAAAGCACTTCGGAAGACCACTTTACGTTTTCTCATAAAGTTGCATACTGCATTTCCTAAGAACCAGTTCTTGCACTCCTAGGTATAGACCCAAGAGTACACTTGTACTCATGTAGACTGGGAGTCAGGCACCGCAAGGTATCTTCAAGGAAGGATAGCAAACAATTGAAACAATGCAAACATCCATCTATATAGCATGGTGGATTATATATATATATATATATACACACACACACACAAGTACAAATGAAAAATTTGTCAAACAAGATGTCAAAAAAATTTTATTCATTTGTTTTTATATTTATGTATTTGAACAAATAAATAAATGGACACACACACACACACACGAGAGAGGAGGATATGTACACACTTAGGAACATTATAAAGCAGTGAAAATTAATGAACCACAACTCCATGTGGCAACCTCAGTAGGTCTATGATGGATGAAGCGAGGAAGGGGCCCTAAGTAGAACGAGGAGGGACACATCAGAGGAAGCAGAGTAATGGCGCATATGGTCTATCCTCACGGGGAGATGCCCAGACCACGGAGAGAGAGGATTCTGATTATTTTTGAAAATGATAATTAAGCCTACCCCATAATTCATGTTAGAGATTTCTTCATTATTTTTCTTTTCTTTTTATTTTGTTTCATATCCTTCAGTTAATCCAGTTATGAGAATCTTTCTGTAAACCACCAGGCCATGATCTTTATGAGAATGTGCGTATTTGCAATGCCAGCTCCTTAAATGCCTCAACTCACATTTCATTGGCATAAAGCATACCAAAGGGGTTCTCTATTTCCTATGAAAAGCTAGTGTTGTTTTATAAAGAACAGTGCATGAGTAGATTCCCCCACAATAGATGGACTCGGGCATGAACTATAGTCAAACTACTTATGAATGGTGTGACTTTCAACAGTGGTTTTTTCTTTTAAGTTTATTTATTTATTTTGAGAGAGGGAGAGAAAGAGCAGGGGAGGGGCAAAGGGAGAGGGAGAGAGAGAGAATCCAAAGCAGGCTTCGCGCTAGTAGTGTGGAGCCCGACACGGGGCTCAAACTCACGCATTGTGAGACCGTGACCTAAGCCAAACCCCACGGGTCATCCAACTCAGTGAACTGGCTGAGCAACTCAGGCACCCCTTACAGGAGTAGTTCTTATCTTTGCTAGATCTGAATTCTCCCATCTATAGAACAGGGGTAACTATTGGGCGGTGTGGTATGGCTGGAGGGTTGCTTTCTCTTCGAAGGGTGTTTCCTTCCAGGGGGAGGGAGCTCCACCAGAGCAACATTTCTGGCCTTTTTCTTATCCATCACTTCCTACTTCCGCAGAAAGGAGGAAGCAGTCTGTTACACCAGGGAGGAGGGACCTGGCATCATGTAGAGAGTTACTGCTCCCTATGGAAAAATGGGCTGCTGCCCGTGATGGTGTGCTAACCCTGTGTGGGGCCACCCCTGCCATGACTTTGCATGGTTGTGTCATTCTGAGACCCACTCTTGGGAAATCGAGCAGCCACCAGTTATAAGCCACATCTACCATTGTCAGACCTTTTGATCTTCTTCTGTTTTACTTGATTATTTTTCAAGAGGGTAGAAAGATGATGAAGGAAGATAAATAATATTTATCGGGTATTTCTCAAATCTCAGTACTTGGTGCTTAAGTCCGGACCACTCAAAGGAGAACAAAACTACTATTTTGGGTAGAGTAATGCACACAGATGGTAACCTCCTGCAGGGACGTTACCTTTTTGGAGGAATTACCTTTTTGCTGCCCTGTAGAAGGGCCATGCAGGGTTTCTTCTAAGATAGCCATTGAGAGTATAATATCATGGTCCCTTGGTGGCTAGTTATATCTATAAACTATAATAGAACCAATAAGGGATATCTATAACTATTTCTGTATCTGTCTATGTATTCATGTATCTATCCATCTATCTATCAAGAGAGGAGAGAGAGATTTATTTCAAAGAACTGGCTCACACAATTATCAAGGCTCGCAAGTCCAAAACCTGCAGGGTAGCCCAGTAGTTTGGAGATCCAGCCCAGGGAAGAAAAGATGTTGCATTTTGAGTCCAAAGGCAGTCTGCTGCTTTCTCTTGGAAAGTCAGTCTTCTTTCTGCTAAGACTTTCAACTGCTTGGACAAGGCCCACCCACATTACGGAGGGTAATCTGTCTTACTCAAGTCCACCAACTTAAATGTGAATCTCCTCTAAAAAATGCCTTCACAGAAACATCTAGAATAATGGTTTGATCAAATAATTGGGGACTGTGGCCCAACCAAGTGGACATAACATTAACCATCACAGTAAACAAGTGGGAGGAATTTCTCAGTAAAGAAACTAGCTAAACATGCCAAAGAAGACAGTAGGCTATCGGCTGTTGCAGGAAGAAAAGCGTTCCCTAGTAGTCTTTCACACATCAAGGAGGAGAAAATTATTTTTTCCCTGCAGCTCAGGAGAGTCTTCTGTGTTTTCTGAAGCACTCGTGAGCTTGTAATTCAAATGGGCAGTCTGGTCTGGGAAGGCATCCAAGAAGAACATGCACTGAGAAGCAAACAGAATAGGGCAATCTACTGAATTTGAAACCCCCAGGCTTGTACAGAGGCTCAAAAGTCATACTCAAAGATTATAACTGGGGGCGCCTGGGTGGCTCAGTGCGTTGAGCGTCTGACTCTTTATTTTGGCTCAGGTCATGATCCCAGGGTTGGGGGATTGAGCCCTGTGTCAGGCTCTGTGCTGAGCATGGAGCCTGCTTGGGATTCTCTCTCTCTCTCTCTCTCTCTCTCTCTCTGCCCCCTTCTCCCTCTTGTGCACTCTCTTTCTCTCTAAAATAAGATTTAAAAAGAGATTACGTCTGTGCATTTCTAAAGAGTATACCACTTTTAGATAGGCTGATAGACATTTACTGTTTCCCGAGGTAATATGCAGGAGAAAGGTCAGTGTTAAGCCTCTAAGGGAAGGCCTTCAGATGAAAACATCCTGATAGCCTCTCGGTGTCAGAGAAGGAAGGCACAACTCAAGCACCTGATAAAAGGTGCTTCTACAAAGGAGATGAATTGAGATACACACAAATCGCTGCAGCATATGCCTCTGTGGACAGAGATGGGGGAAGGAAATGCTTCTCAAAACCTGGGGCATTCACGAGTTAAGAAAGGTAATGTCTTGGGGCGCCTAGGTGGCTCAGTTGGTTAAGCATCTGACTCTTAATTTCGGCTCAGGTCATGGTCTCGTGGCTCGTGAGTTCGTGAGCCCCATGTGCTGGGGCTGACAGTGCAGGGGTTGCTTAAGATTCTCTCTCTCTTGCTC